TGGTTAAAGTTTCGACAATTGTTGCGAATCCTAGTATGTGCTTTCTATAGAAACTTGCCATTCCAACAATTCTACGGACTTGTTTAAGGGTTTTAGGTGCGGGAATATTTTTAATTACTTCGATGCGCGACAGGGAGGGTATGAATCCGTTTCCAGAGACAGTGTATCCCAAGAATTCCATTGAGCTGGTTGCGAATTTACATTTTTTCGGGGAGAGTTTTAGATTAAATAATCGAAAGCGTTCGAAAACGCTCCGTAGTGTTTCTAAATGAGCGGAGAATTCTGGCGATTTAGTGTATATTAAGATGTCGTCAACGTAGGTGAGTACGTTCTCGACACCGGAAAGTACATGGGACATTGTTCGACTAAAGGCTGCGGTAGCATTGCGCAGTCCAAACGGAAGATGGGTCATTTGAAAGACACCTTCTTCTGTGATTAGACCGCATTTTCGTGACGCTTCTTCAGTTAAAGGAATCTGAAGATAGCCTGAGGATAGATCTAGTGAGCTATAGTAATGACAGTTGCCTATTTTTTCCATAATAGTCTCAAGTCGGGGCAGGGGAAAGTGATCTGGTACAGTTATTTCGTTTAGTTTTCGAAAATCGATGCAGGGTCTTAATCCTCCATCTTTTTTCTGAACTAGGACCAGATTGGATACCCATGGCGTGTCTGACTGGATCATTACTCCAGATTTCAATAATTGGTCGATGTGCTTTTTGAGCTCATCGCGGTACTTGAAGGGGGTTCTGTGAGGTTTTGAGATAATAGGTTCTTGGGTTGTTGTGACAATGTTATGGGAACCAGCCTTGCATGAACCCAGATCATATTGAGATTTACTAAATATGTCTGAGAATTCTTCACAAAGTGATTTGAGAGTTTCCAGGTCATTCCCTTTTACATAAGATTTAGAAAAGTCAATTATAAATGTTGGGTCTTTTTCTATAAGGGATGTTTGGTCTGTGAGTTCTACAGATCCAATTGAATTGTAATTATTTTCCCTAAAAAGTTGGAGATTTTGGTCAAAATTTATTTCGGTTGCGTATGCTATGGTCATGTTTTGGTAAATATTTTTGGGCTCCTGGGTGGGATTAATTAAAGGAAGTATGGCTATGTTATTTTTTGGTTGGATGAGTGTGGGGATTAAACAAAAGTCCTGCTCAGCAAGTCTCTTGTCTAGTGTGTCGATTGATAGGAGTTGAAGATTAATGTTTGAGTCAATCTTTATTGGAATTAGAGATTGACTCTCGGGTGGAATAGTTATTGATTTGAAGGCTCGAATTCCTATGGATGATCGTATTTTAGGAGTAACGCCCATTGGTGTGACATTGTTGCCAATGGTTAGTGTATTTTCATTATGATTAAATGTTAAGGGTGGGAGTTTGGCAAATGTATCGCATCCTAAGATTATATCATAATCTTTGGAGTTGTGAAAATGTTTATCATCTACGAATTTAATTTCAAGGGGTATTAGATATCCAGCAACGCAGATTTCTGTGTTACTTGAGGCAATTATTGGCATATGATGACCAGAGGCGCTTACGGCTCCTAGTCTTTCATATTTTATGGGGCTTCCTAATTTTTCTGCAATACTTAGAGGGGCTGCTGTGAAGGTTGCTCCAGTATCCGCTAAACAGCGAAACTGGGAATTGTTTATATATGCGGTAATTGTTGAGTTATGAAGGTTGTTTTGGATGGTAAGTAAATAAGGACTAGTGGTATGTGGGTTAATTAGGGATGTACACTCCTCTCCTACATGGAAAAAACAGTGCGTGAAGTCGATGTAGATTGGGGGAAGGAGTGCAAAAAGATTGCACCCAAGTATAGCTTGAAAGGTCCCTTCACCTATAAATTTATCATCGGGTACTAAATAAAGGTCCAATTCCCTTGAAAAATTGCAAATTATAATTTCAACTTTAGTTTTCCCTATTATTGGAACATTGTGACCTGATGGGGTTGTGACAATAATTTCTCCTTCAGTTATGGGGCATCCCAAAAAGGTTATAAGCTCTATTGGTGCGAGTGAGACCGTGGATCCCGTGTCAATAAGGCAGTCTACATTCATGGAGTCAAAGGTTGCATTTATTACAGGTAGGTAATTATAAATGAGTGTTGGTCCGTCTAAAGTCGGATCAATTTTGCTTAGAAATTCAATAAGTACGCTTGAGGAGTGGGATCTTTTCTTAAAGTTGGATTTTGAGAGTAAGGCCTTATTTGAATTTGGTTTTGGTTCGGGAGGAAAAACTATGGGAAATTTTGTCACTGATGGCGGCCATTTTCTTGGCTGTCCTTCAAGTGGACGGCCAAGTTCTAGCAAAATTTGAGAGGGGTGGTTTCTAAAGAGTGCCTGATGCTTTTTGGTAGCGTCAGGTTTTTTGGCTACAGGGTTTTGTGGTGTCTTGGTGGTACTTTTCTTTGGGGTTAATTTATTTTCTATTGCCCGGATTATAGTAAAATTTTTGAGATAATTTTCTATAAGCACAGCTGAAATTCTAATAAGGATGTCTATAAAGGCGATTATGCAAACTATGAAACAGAAGGTGTTTTGTATTTGAGACCAATCTCCTACTGTTTCGTTTATTATCTCTTTTCGCACTTCTTCCCAGTCAGTCGACATTGTTGACTTAACAGCCGAATTCTGCTGTTCAATCCTAAAAGTTATTTGACTGACTTGGGCCATGCTAGAGAGATAAGAATGGGTGATAATGTCAGTGAGGTTTACTAAAACTAGATGGTGAAAAGTATGTGGAAGGATTTTTGGCGCGTCTATTTCGTGAAAGGATTTGCTATTAAGGACTCGGGTATATAAAATAATTTCTTCGCCTGTTATTTGGTCTATTTCTTTGAATGTGCCATTAATCTGTATCGGTATTTTCCTATATTGAGAACATGGGGCTTTGCGCGCTTTTGCCGAGATAACTAGAGTTGAAGGGTCAAGAAAAGCAAGCTCGTCTTTCCCTTGTGTTTTAATTTTTATTGGAAGGAGGTCGAAGCATGTGTCTAGGTTTGTTGGGGAGAAATTGTATTGGGCGGTAGTGAGTGGAACACACGGCCATATTTTGAGCGTGGTGCCCGAAATATGTCGTGCGATTATATTGGGGTTACTTAAGATTGCACGGGCCAGAGTCGAGGGATTGGAGAGTAGTGCTGTTGTGGTCCATTTCCGAGTTTCTTCGGCGAACTCACAAAGCTGGTGAAGGGAGTGAGAGAACTGAAAGATTAGTGATTCTTTTAGCTCATGGTCGAGGTAAGTGAGCTGTCCTTCTAACTGGCTATCGGTAATAAGGCTTTCATGGTCCCAGTCCTTTTCCCAAGATATGTCTCTTCTGGTTCGGGTTTTAGAATTGATTGGTTCGTAAGCAAAGCCCTGCTCTGTTATCAGCAGGGTTCTGTTACAGTCTATTATTTTTGATACGTTACTTTTTAGAGAGAGGCCGATGTCAATGTTATCCCCTAGCCAAATATCGGTCATAAAGTGTCCAGTGAATTCCCCAATCAAAATAAATCGACATTGTTTATCAGGGGTAGGTTTCCATATTAATGTGGTGTTGTCTGCAAGTATGCAGCTTCCATTTAAATAGGTACAATGATTCATGGGGCCTAATGGGGATTGTATCTGAATGGAATCATGGGGGACAGAAATTTCAGTTTTAAAGAGATAACAATTAAGGGAGTGATGAGAACGCCAGGACCATCCGAATATTGGAAGCCTTTTTTCGTAAAATATGCGGTTATCAGTGTGCCATAATCCAGCCTCTTCCTTTAGAGTACCGAATTCGCAGCTTTTTCGATTAATCATTTCTTGGCAAGTTGCAGGTGGGACAAGAAGATTAGCTGGTTGTATATTTATTTTTATAAGGTCGTTAGTTGGGTTAGTGTATTCGTCTTCCCCTTTTTTAATGATTCTGCATGCCCATGCTTTATTGGATTGCTGGAAGGCGTTAAGGCGGTAAAGTCTGATATTCTGTGAAACAGGGATTCCTGACCGATTTTGCTTGAGGCGTGGGCAAGGTGCAAAGTTTGGTAATGTCCAGTATTCCCCCTGCTGTTCGGTTTGGCATATCATAGGATTTTGAGGATTGTATGAGGTGAGTTTATTGGAATTTGGAAAAGCGAAAAGCCCGGGTATAATCATAAGCAAACATAGAATGTGTGTCAGACGGGTAATGAACGGGGCAATGGAGAAGCTAGGTTTTACGTTTGATTGGTTCTCCCAATTTTCAAGTTTTGTTGGGCGCATTGGTTCAATGTCGGGGGTTTCATTAATCTTACCCTTATTTTTGGAATTTTCGGGAGGGGAGAGTGTTAATGATTTTAGATTATGTGGGTCAGGGTCATCAGAATTCCAAGTATATTCTTGGTTGTTTCTTTCATGAATGTCTATGAAATTTAGACGTTCAGTAGTGTTTCTTATATTGGGGTTGTTTCTATTTTGCCCGGGGTTGTATGCCGGATTATTCCTTAAAGGTTGAAAATTTGGATTGAAAGAGCGGTTTCGGTTAGGGTACGGTCCATAAAGTCGTGCCCTGGTGTAACAATCGGCGATTACATGCCCCATTTTATGGCAATAATTGCAAGTCTTAAATGCATTTGGGTTAGATGGTCCGGTATTTTGGGATTGATTGAAGTTGCGCGAGTACTGGGGTCTGGCCTGGAAGTTTTGTGATACATTTCCTCTAAAATTTCTTTGAGGTTGATTTTGGTTCCAATAAGTATTTCTGGGTCGTTGGTTATAGTTTGTGCCTGGGGTAGTGGTAAAATTACTATTTGGATTGTTCTGCCAAGTAGTAAAATTGCCAATAGGAAATCGAGGAGGGTTTTGTGTGTTTGCATGAGATATGACATTGAGCCATTCCTCATGGTCGTGTTTGCGTTTACGTGTTTGAATTAAGTTTTCTACTTCTAGTGCCTTAATCCTAACTTCTTCGAATGATTGCTGGGGGGTAATTCCTACTCTAACATAGAATGCGATTTCTTCCTTAATTTTATCGAGAAATGCAGCCTTTAGAATGTCTTTTCTTGACTGAGGGGTTTGTTCGGGATATGCTGCGAAAACAAGAGGGATGAGTCTATCGACAAATCGATCAAGTGACTCATCTTCCTTTTGTCGGCAGAGGGAGAGAGATTGTTTTGCCAATTGAGCTCTGATTGGGGTGTCAAGGGAGCGTTTGAGTGAATCTAATGCCTTGGCTAGAGTGTTTTTGTCTTCGGGAGGGAGTTCTTCTAGGACCTGCCGGGGTATTCCGTCTAAAAACATTTTAAGTCTGCCTATTTTTGAGGGTTCGTCTAACTTTTGTGCGGTTCCTTCCATATAATCGAGAAATTTTTGGGCCCATGAGGAAAAGGTGCCAGAGGATTCGCCTGAGTAAATTGGGACGGGGCCATGGGAGTTGAGGGGGTAATCAAATGTAAGGCCGGCGATGCGTCCGATTGTGTCTTCTTCATCGTCGGAGAGGTTGGTTTCGGAGTTTGGGAGTTGGATGGGGGCGGTATTAGTTTGCTGCTGGGAATTCCCTGCGGCATTTGCTGGTGTCAGACTAATTAAATTTTCGGTCGGGACTGTTGCTTTTGGCTGAGGAGTTTGGGTTTCGGGCAAGAGTGTGTCTATTCTTTTGGCCAAAGTGAGAAGTCCCGTGTTTAGATCCCCAGAAATTGTGTTTATCGCTTGTGTCGTGGAGTTTACCCTTCGGTTAACTGCACGAAAAGAGCGATTCACTGACTCTTCTAAGGAGGCAGTATTAGCTAGAAGACTATCTAGATCCTGAAATTTCGGATTCCCTGTACGCCCGGAAAAGAGCCTACGGTCAATTGCAGTAATATTTTCGGTCCCTACTGGTGTATTTTCGTCTTCAGTCATTACTGGTGTTTTTTGAATGAATGAGAGGGTGATGATTTAAATAAATTAAAATTTTAAATTAAAATTAAAAACGATAAATGAGAGGGAAAAATAAAAATTAAAAAAAAAAATTGAAAATGGAAAATGATCAGTTAATATTATTTGAATAATACTAACGATGTGTTTTAATTAAATTATTTTAAAAAGAAAAATTTTATTTGTAGTTGATTATAAGTAGGATGATTTTGAAAAAAGAATTTTTTTTGAATTAAAATTAAAAGGTGATGGATAATGATTTTCCTTACTCTTATATATGGATAATTTCTATCAAAGGGGCGTTATGGCTTAAAGGATGCATCTGGGAAAGCTAATATTTTGTTTTCTTTTTATTGTAATTACTGGGAATTATTATTTTAAAAAGGATAGAAGGAAAAGGATAGTTTGTAATGCTTTTACTGTTTTAAAGATGGCGCTTTCTCAAGGGAGTGTAATAATTGTTAGCTATCTAAGGGAATTTGTTTTAAAATTGTTTGTTTCAATCGCGCCGATAAAAAATGATTTTAAAGAGATAAGGATGATTCCCAGACTTGGACAAAATTTTATTTTTCTTTTCTCTTTTTTTTTTTTGTAAAGGATTGGAATGCACGCGGACTTTGTTTTTGTACAGTATCCTATCTCTTCTCAGGGAAAATAAAAAGTGGATTTTTTAGAAAAATATTAAAATATACTGTATTGAAAAAATTTTTTGGAATAAGTGAACACAAAAATTTACAATGATTTTTAAATTTAAAAAAATATTTAATTTTAAAATTTACAATATTTCTTATCCCTGTTATATCTTTTTTTTGTTTTGGATGTTTCCGAAACAAATGGATGATTTTTCCTATGGATGATTTTTCCTATTAGGCGATTTGTGATTTTAATCTCTAGTTTTAACACCCGATTGATAAAACTAGAAAATTAGGTAAGAAGGGTTTGAGAAATATTTTAAGGGGATGGGAAACCTAAAAAAAAATTTGTTCCTAAAATTTCATTCTAGTCTTAACAAAAAGACTGGTATGAAATAGGGATGGAGAATTTTTTTATTTTGAAAAGCGGAAGGCGGAAGCGGGGGAAAGCGGAATAAAATTAAAAAAAAAGATGAAGACGGAAGGTGGAGCGGAAGACCAAAAAGAGGGCAGAATTCTGAGGAAGGCGGAACGCGGAAGCGTTCCTCCCTGGTATGAATTCCTAGGATTATTTTAAAATAATTTATTTAAGAATAATTTGTTTTAGATATGCATAAAAATTGAAAGATAAGTAATAAAAATAACCATTATCAAATATGTATATGGATGGGGTTGGGAGTGGTAAAAATAAAGAGGTTGTTGACAAATGGTTGGAAAAAAATGTTTACTGGGAACTGGGAAGAGTGTGGCACTGTAAAAATGGTTAAAATTTTAGTGGAAAGGTTTGTTCTGGAATATCCGAAACAAACAATTTTAATGCGGGGAGTTTCAGAAGAAAGGGGAAATAAAAGACCCAGATCCAGACCTTGATTTTTCCAACAGGGGGATTTTGATTTTAACATTCTATTCTTAAAGTAACCTGATAAGGATAAAAAGTTAAGAGAAAAGGGAAAAATAAATTTATGTAATTTTAACATTAATAAATTCATAGTTTATAAAATGTATGTAAGGACAAATTTATAAAAAAATGTGTAAGGACGGAGATGCAAAATGGTAGGAAATAAGGAGAGATGTTGAGAAAAGTGGCCAGAAAAATTATAATGGGGAAAGTAAAGCGAAGCTAAAATGGGCAAAAAGGGTAGGTCAATTTTTTCTTCTTTGCCTGTTTGGATGTGCGCATTTTTTATTGAACTGCTGCAGGAATGGGACAACGAAAAGGACAAAGAAAATATGTGTTTTTTGAATGGGTTGGGGGGGGGGAGAGAATGCTAAACTACACATCTGTGTTTTATAACGCCGATGTTGTAGATAGCTTGGCTTGGGGTAATGTCTGGGTCAATTTGAAGGGAATTTATTGTAAAAAAATAGTGCCTATATTTTTATTGGAGAAAGAAAAAAAAATTTTCCATCCTGATATAGGATGAATCAGTGTTTATTTTAAAAATGGGAGGGAGAGAGGGATAAAGGATTAAAAAAAAAATTTTGGGTCGAGAGGGAAGGGAACCATCCGGTGCTACCAGTTATACGCGGGACGGACGGTCAGGACTTGGACGCCCGACCGTCCTCCCGGTATCTTCGGAGCGCCTGAAAGGGGGAAGGGAGGAGGAAGACAAGATGACAAAACGACGGGCCGGTATTGGGGTGGCGCAGAGGACTCCCTAATCTCAATAAATAAGGCCGGGATTCAACAAAATATTTATTTAGGCATCAAAATATATAAGTGGGTTAAATAATTAAAACAAATAAAAATGGAAAGGCATTTAAAATAAAAGTAAATACAAGGCAAAATCAAAAATAATATTAAATCCAATAAACACTCTCATCTCCATTCCAAAACAATTCCAAACAAAAACAAACGAAGGAGAATGAACCAACATCTTCTTCCTTCTTCCAATCAAGTAGTAGAGAGAAAGGGGGTGGGGCTTGGGGGTGAAAAGTGGATAAAATGATAGAGAAGAGAGGGAAGGGAGAGCCTATATGATTGAGTCGGGGATTGGAAAAGGAATGGCATTGGTGGGGGTATTCAAGTCTGGTATTGTCCGTCCCGCGTAACAATATATTAAGGAATTTTCGAGTAATATTAAAAGTAAATTGACTGAAAATCCTGTTGAAAATGAGAAAAATAATTGGCCAAATTTGAAAAAATATTTTATGTCTAAAATATATGTTGGTTTAAATTTATTTAAAAATATCAGTCGCTTTTGCGCATTTACATATTTACAATTGTGAAAAAGTCCTAGGAATATTTGCGAAAATAAAAAGAAAACAAAACACATCATATTAGTGTCCGGATTTTTATAAAAATAAAATTGCAAAATATTGTTATAAAATATTTAAATAACTTGACAAAGTTTTTGAAAAAATGCAAAAAAATAAAACAGTGTTTATTTAATAGCATAAACTCAAAAGTAGCAAAAAATTGGTATTTGTTGTTTGAAAAACAGTTTTAATGCTGCTAATTAGAGTAGGTCGTCACTTTTTGGACATGTATTTTCAAAAAAGTACATAGGTATTTCAATAAAAATCCGGACGCTACTTTTAAGATTAAATAACTCTTTTGGATTAAAAAATTTAATCGCAAATTTGGAGTATGTTATAAATGGAATAATTGGGGTAAAATTATAAATTAAAGAGAAAACAGATATATAACCTAAAAATTGGGAGTATCTCTCTCACAGGCAGTGACTGACAATTTAAAAAATTATCTTAAATCTTATAATAAACCACGCTGTTTTTCACAAAATCCTATATGTAATAATTTAACTTTCAGCATAAAACAAATCAATCGCAGCTGATTAGAAAGAAACGTTATTATTATAGCAATCGACCAATTTTTGGTAAAAGACCTGATGCATTTATTGCACATTCAATAGCTGGTATTGTGATTATTATGTTCATGTGTTTGAAATTACCGTCAATTGGATTGCTTGAGTTGACATGTCGCTTCCCCGAAATTAATTTTCAAAATTTTTTACGTCGGAGGCAAAACTCTCCTCCTACAATTCATCGCCAACGCGAGCGAGAATTACGGGAACAATATTTTCATCCTCAGCCAAGTAATCCTCATCGCTATCAAGGACGTCATCAATACCATTATGAGAATCCATACTATCGAAATGCAGAAAGAAATAATATGGCTTTAGGTCGTCAAGGACAAAACGCGCCAACAATTCATCGAGAAATGCATCGACAAGATTTTCAGCCTCAACAAAACAGTCCTGTTCAATATGACGAAGAAAATCCTCAACAATTTTCATCCGTTCCATCATTTAGATCCGATGATGCAGAAGCGTATCAACCGGTGTTCGATAGTCAACTACGCCCACGCCGAAGCATCCAAAAAAGTTTAAATTTATATTTTAATCGGGCTATTTAGTTGTTTTTCGAATGGGCTATTATTTGATATAGAATTTTTGACACAAAAATCGTCTTGGCCCAAAAATACGGGGATTGCATTTAAATAACCTAACTTATAAGGTATCCAAAAATCACCTCACTGTTGAGAACATTCTTTTAAATGGACATAGCCAGAAAATTAAAAATATTTAGGTAATTTTTGTCAAAACAAAGCGAATGGAGGAACATGTAAAAACACCATAAGCTTCCACAAGGATGACAAGAAAAACAATTTGAAATATTTTAAAAAGCAAGGATGCCTTAACAATATTTTAAACAACGTGACTGAAGGTCAAGAGAATATTCGAAAAAAACGTTATGTTGAATGGGAATGTGGAGTTTGGATTTATTGGGGGATTATTTTGTCTCTTTTTGGTCTTTATGCTTTAGGATTTTATCTTATTGCAGCGCATGTACATTGAAGATTTATAGAGTTTGGGAAAATGTAAATTTTGATATTTTTTTATTTAAAAGAAGGGAAATTTAAAAAGAAAATATAAAAAACACAACAAAACACAAAAAATACAAAAAAAATATCCAAAAAATGAAAAACTCAAAGAATTCATTATACAAAAACAAAAAAAACAACAAAGAAGATAAAAAATCAAAACAAAAAAATTTTTACTTTTCGAAAAATTTAAAAATTTAGCTACAGTCGAACACGAATTAAGATTCATTTTCAACTGAAAAATCGTATTTAAAATGTTGAGTATGTATCTAATTTTTGGAGTATCCTAAATTCGTGTTCAGGCTTTATTAGATATTTTGAACATGATTAGTACAATTTTTCAATTTTAGCAAGATTTTTTTATATATTTATTGGCTCTTTTTCAGTTTTAAAAGATGCAGGAGGGTGTCACTCGTATTATAAAAATCCAATCACTAAAAATTTATAAAACAAGAAAACTGAACAAGAGCCAAATAGATACAGCTTTATATAAAAATTATCTTTAAAAGATATTCAAATTCTGGGATAAATTTTTTTGAGTATGTTAAAAAAAGCTAACGGATACACGCCAATTTTTTTTAGATCGCTCGACTAATTCAATTTGTAAATAGGTATCGCTGAGATCCAATTGCGAAAACACTTTACTTCCATAGATATATTTCACTACGTTTATAGGCAGCGAGCTGGACATTTACCTTGTAGTTCTAGTTCCAGTTCCAGAACCAGGTTTATAATTTTTGTAGTTCCAGTTCCGGAATTCCATTTTTGAAATTCCTTAGTTCCAGTTCTGGAACTAGTTCCAAGCTAGTTCTAGTTATCAAGGAGTAAGGGAAATGTACGGAAAAATATGATAGTGGCACTTAATATTTCATATAAAGCCAATTATTCTTAAAGCTACTTTTTAAATTTTTGAACATAAATTAGTAATAGACCACCCTGTTTGAGAAAGATTAATTAAAAAGCTATGATACATATTTAATTTATGTGGGTGTATTAACGGTTTTAATAAATTATTGTAAAGCAAATATACATATAAATAAACATTTTTCACAGATAACATCATTAAATTACTCATATAAGCTTATTTAAAACCTAAATAAATTCACAATTAATTAGTACTATTTACTTATACTTTTTATAATTTTTATTTAGTTAAAAATTAATAAAATATTAAATTATATTCTTTCAGTTAACTTAAAGAAAAATGATTAAAATTATTAATAAAATAATTATATTTATTTTATTAATTTTACAACTTGATGTTAATATTGCTGGAGATGATAATGAAGGATATAATAACGGCCTGTATGCATAATTTATTCTAAAAAATTTTTCCATTCGATCAAACAGCTGACTTTTTTTAGCAAGGAACCCGAAAATCTCTCATATTCTCTTAACCTCGCCAAATTTCCTGGTATTTAACTTAACATCTAAATCGGTGATATTGTGGATAATTGCATTTTTCCTAGATTTAAGCTGAATTCAAATTTTTTCTTACCCGATCCCGCTGACTTTTTTCGACCCAACCCTGATCCGCAAAAAATTTTGAAAACCATCCGACTTCTTTCCTCAACTCATGACACCCCTGACAAGATCTTACAGAATGGAGTTAAATGATAAATTAAGAATTACTAAATTATAATAGGGTTACAACAATACTTTAATTACTACATTCGGCAAAATTGTTTTAAAGAGTTTTTTCGGTTCGCATTGATGATTCCAAAATTCGATATTCATCCAAAATTCAATAAAATATTTTATTTATTATTTAGTATTTTTCTCACTGACATGATCAAAACCCACCATGAAATCCCGTATTTAAATTCGGACCAATGTATGCTTCGCCCAGGCCAAAAAGATCATAACTCCTACGGCATAATCTTCAAGAGGACCACCGGTTTTACTTGCGATAAGTATATTAAATGATTTATGAACAAATTTATCTACCTCTATATTTTTAAGCTTACTAATTTGCTACCCAAGTCAATTAGTCGGTAATAACACATCAAATGGTCTTATTGCATCAATTCCCCATCGTCTTCGTGAATCGGATCCGGTGAGGGAATAAATTCTTCATAGTTTAGAATTTTAGAATAATTATTAGAAAGCGTAAAAATAGACAAGATGTGACTCTAAAGTCGGAAAATTGTCTTTCAGAGAATTGTAAAAATCAGACTAAAATTTGAATCACATATATGTATTCTAACGCTTCCGAACTGCTTTTAAAAATTTACTCATTTCTCTTAAATGAAAGGAGGATAGGGAAATCTGACGGATACATTACCAAAATTTCTTATCTTAAAGAATTATGTCACACAACAATGTGGTATAAAACGACAAGAATTTTGTAATCATAAACAAAACAGACATTTATGTGATCTGGGAAAGCCTGCTTCAACAATATGGCACGGCATTATGCTAAAAACAGATTTCTCACCTGATCCCGATAATTTGGAAAATAACATCTTTGTTACGACGATTTCTTTGTCAATTAGTAACCAAAGGTATTTTATGAATAAAATACACCGTCTAAAAGTGAAGAAGCAGATTGTAAAAAGCGAAAAATGAAACGCGAAGACGAAACATTAAAAGAAAAAATTCGCAAAAGCCGAAATAGCACACACCTGACACGATTTGAAAACGGCATAAATGTTGCAACCTCGAGAAATTATCTGGAGCAATATTCCAAGCTTTTGCTTCGAGAATATTGTATTATTAAAAGAAAAGTGAATTAAATAAAATTACGTTCGAATCTAATATCTGAAGTTAGAAGTATTTTGCCACATTTTTAACGATAAAGACACTGATATGATTTTTCCTCGACGCCGAGAAATGAGAAATAATTGAAAATATATGTGGATTTTAAGGGATATTAGCTGATTAATAAGATTTACGACACATGGGCATATGTATGCTCCTTTCGTTTCTCGGCGATCTTATATACTTTTGGTGTTCGTTTTCGGTCTTTCGCCATTTAAATTCCCTTTCGCCTTTCAACATTCGCTTTTTAAAATCATTTAATTATCTAAGTAAAAATTATTTTTTGTAAAACTGAAAAAAAATCAGAAAGTTTAAATTGGATTGCTAAAAAACTGAAATTTCTCTAAGTATAACCAAAATTTAATTTATCATTTGATATTTTTAGTTATACAATACATCACACCGAAGATTTCAATATTGAATTTGGTAACAAATCTGACCTCGTCACACGTGTTTATATAAAGAATAATATTGGAGGTGTGTAATTTTTTAAAATTAAATAATGTTATTATGTAGAGTTGCGCTCTTCTTAGCCTTTAATCGAGGATATCAGGGAGCTGGAATAATCAAAGTATCAGGGGAAAATGATTTTATTTTTTGTTTCTTTGAGAGAAAATAGTTATTTCTGCCCAGATCTAATTCGAATAAACTTGCCAAGAATAAAAAGGCTTTTTAAATTTATACTTGTACTGGGATAGTTAAGATGTAATACTTGTTAAAAATAGGCTATGTTTTTGAACGTTTCCTATAACCCTGGAAATTTATATTTTTTTGAGGAAAATTAACCGAATCATGATTTAGAAAAGTTATAGTATATGAATTATTAAATTAAATGTAATACTAGAAAATTCTCAAATTATGAGATACTACATATAATTATAATTTTAAAAAAAGGTAAAGTTATTCTTGGCAAAGATAATGATATTATGAATGAATTTATGAATAATATAGAAAAAGGAGCATACATGCATAAATATACTGGGATTTGGTCTCTCGGATTGGATTTACTACCATCAATTTTGCAAAAAACATTGAATTTTTTTGTCTATAGAGGTTGTGCTTGTGGAATTTATGCTTGGGTAAAAAAAATTTTTTAAATTAAATTAAAGCCATTTCGGATATAGTTTAGTATACCGGAGTTTTAGTTCCGATATAAGACCCATACCATTCGATTCGTCTCGGCGAGCTGAGTCGAACGGTACCACTTTCCAGGCGCGGAGATGCCTGTGGGCCGAGATATAGGTCCCCGAAAATCGAAAAACCATAGGGGGGACCAAGCACTTTTTTGGGGTGAAAAATTCGAATATGCATATTATACCTCATTCGAAAGAGCTCGTCGAGCTGAGTCGAATGACACCAAAATCAGCTCGATATCTTGATTTTGAGCCAAGATAAAAAGGTTCAAAATGGTCAACGTAAACCTATGGGGCGTAGGCGAGGCGCTTGTGCAAAACCCCGCGCTTCGCGCGGGGTTTTGCGGCACGCGCCTCGCAGGGAGTCTACGGGCGCTGGGTTCGGGCTCGTAACATGGTCCTATTCCTATCATAATGAGGTGGGAAATCCAGGCTGCCTCAGCAGCAGCAAAATCTCCACAGATGCCATAGGTAAGGAGCTAGAACAAACGATCATAACTTTGCCCAATCTTGTTCAATCTCGGTGATTTTCATGTCATTCGACTCAGCTCGTCGAGCTCTTTCGAATGAGGTCTTACTTGTATAAAAAATTTTTTATTCCAAAAATCGTCCCTTGGAATCTTCGATTTTTAGGGGTCTATATCTCGGTCCAATCAAGTCGGATTTCGTTGATTTTGGTGTCATTCGACTCAGCTCGACGAGCTCTTTCGAATGAGGTATAATATGCATATTCGAATTTTTCACCCCAAAAAAGTGCTTGGTCCCCCCTATGGTTTTTCGATTTTCGGGGACCTATATCTCGGCCCACAGGCATCTCCGCGCCTGGAAAGTGGTACCGTTCGACTCAGCTCGCCGAGACGAATCGAATGGTACGGGTCTTATATCGGAACTAAAACTCCGGTATACTAAACTACAGCCGCCATTTCTTCATTCAATATAAGGAAATTTGGGTTCTGGAAAGTTGCGCTCCAAAATTTTTCGGAAAGTATGCTCAAAATTTTTATGCGACTTATGTGATCCCTGAATTTTGGGTGAGGAGTTCTGAAAATTCCAAAAATTTGAAACCCAATATTTTGAAAATATTTGAGCCAAATTTTCGAGAGCCCAAATTATCGGCACCATCATTATCTTTCTATTTTCATTATTGTTCATCTCGAGATGAAATTTCACGAGATTTTTAGAAATATGTACATTAATTTCATTTGCCAATTACATATCTTGAATATTAAATCGATTTAGTAAATTATCAATAATATATTTAGTTCAAAAAACCAACGACACCCTCCACAGCAGTGCCTAAAAAATCTATAACACAAGAAAATTTCAAAAACAAAGACTGCTTTGTACGGAAAACTGACCAAAGTCTGCACAAATTAGGAAAAATTAACGAAACAGATACAATTGTCGAGTTTGGAATGTGGACTGGATATGAAGGGGAAAGTGGAAAATTTTTGTTGGTTAAGGAAAACGAAACATTTATTGAAATCAAATTAAATGAAGATTTAATTATAATTAACAGTACTTTGGTAAATTTTAAATGTATAATCGAAAATTTAAATACATACGGGGTGGTATTCCTGATATATGTCCCCCTCTATATTCCTGATACCCTGTCACTCATATCTCCCTTAATCACTTGATAGCAGTTTTTAATAATTTTAGCGCCGCAGCGAAATTTCTGAAAATTTATACATTATTTCAAATTCGGTGACACTCAATTTGCGTGCGTATAATGTATAATTAACAAAAAATTTGATTATTAAATTATTTGAATCTCAGAACTTTCTCTATAAAAATTTTTACAGTCAACGTTCCTGATTTGGGTTTCCGTTTTCGGTTTGGTGCATTTTTTCGGGCTTGGTTTTGTTCGATTCGGTTCGGTTTCGAGCCTTTCGAGCCGAAAAGCCTCGGCTCTCTCGGTTCGAGCGAGCTGGCAACCCTATTCCTAATAAACTAAAACATTACCTAATTCTATTATAGTTTCATGTCAAAAATTTTACTAAAAAAATGCACAAAAATTTCATGAACACTGGATCAAGATTAAACGTGAAAATACGTTTAACTAACTATTATGTTTGGGCATCTATTTTAATTGATCTGAATGAAAACTTTTTACACAAATTTTGGCCCGAGAAATGGTGGAAAGTAAATTTCTTCAATGAATCAGAAGTTTATATTGATATATCTGGTGATTTTGCAATATTTACACCTGTGTATATTAATCAACTTAAGAACAAAGAAGTTAACGAGGTAATAATATGTTAAATAGAAATATTTATTTATTTAAAGTAAAGCCCGAAAGCATTATAATTCAGGGTATATGATTTAAATTGTCGGGCAGTATACTGTGTTTAATTATAATAAAATTTAAAAACTTTGGCACCAAGTTTTCATGAAAAATATGCATAGGCTTAGGAAATTCATTAGATTTTTCAACATAAAATAAAAGAGCCCGAGTTCCTACATATCAGATATGTTCTAGATTATTATTTAGATTTTCTAGATTTATTATTCATTTGACGTTAAGTAACAAATCTTGTTTGTTTCCTGAGATTATATAGGGCTAAAGCTAAAGGCAAGTTAAACGGCTTTACGCATTACTTTTTACACCTTTACATAACTAACCTGGGATGATCTAAATATTATTGAAACTATTGTTTTATTGTTAAGTTGGCTGGAATTTTTAAACATATGATTCAAATGCCATATACATTTGAAACAAAAGAGGCTGCTTCCGAAGTTCATCATAAATTTATTTTTATGGTCAAGCCTGAGGCCTCTGAATTTTATATAAGGCTGATGCATGGAGAGCCCGATGAGAATAAATACCGTAATTTTTTGATAACATTAATTAGATCAAAAAATTTCTTTTGGAGTTGGAAGAACTATTTTTGGATTGAACGTCAGCTTTACCGAAAATACCATGACACTTTATATCATGGATGTAAGGAAATTTTAAAAAATTTTAAATTACACTGAAATTCATTTTCATCATTTCTAATAGATTGCTGGGAAAATTGAATAATCAGAATTATCCATTTTTACTTTAACAAAGCAAACTTTTTCTTTCCCTTTATTAAAATAATCAGTTAGGTCCCGAACTTGAAGAACTGTTGCGGATTGAACTCATAAACTGGAGTAGAGCCTTTTATTTTGGCCTTCGGCAATTAATTAACTAACCTCTTTACAATCATCTTAGTTTTGACTAGGGTAGCTCTCGTTCCCTGCAACCCTGACCTTTTTTGGAAAACCCCGACCCGAAGCCTAAAGGCTCTCCCCGTCAAACCCCGATATCCAATGATCCCAACTCCGAAGGATCGAGGAGCTACACTTGTTTTGACTATTTCATACTTGACCATTTTAGTTTTTAGAGAAGGAAGACAAAATTAGATGCGGGTAGTAGATAACAGAAAAGTACCAGATGAATATAAAAACATGATTGACTTACAAAATTTTAAAACATTTTAGTTTGACGGCATTTTTAATGAGACTTTTAACAATACCTTATTTCAACAAGGAAGGCCTTTCGAGGTCGTTATGATTGGAAACATGTCAAAAGAAGATGAAAAAGAAGATGAAGCAGGTTTTAATATCAAAGTGAATGGAGAAATACTACTATTTAATGAAAGCATAATATACACATTTATGCCTTTATGGATGATTAATAGAGTTTCGGTGTGTTTTGTAATAATTTTCGAGACGCCTATGCTATAGAAAATAAATTAGAAGGAATATTATAATCATGGAGACGGGCCCTACCCAGAGGAAGCATCTGATGGATTAGCTTTATTAATTCATGCTTACATTAACAGAACCAGCATCTTAATAATTTTTAATTAAAACTTTAGATGGGTAAAGATATACAATTGTTGGATTATGATGTAGAAGAACTGCCACAACCTTCATCGAAAGGACCTTCTCTAAAAAAACAACCTTCTTTAAAATATAAAAAGAAGATAACGAGTTTGAAAAGCTCTGGAATTATTTTATGCTTTGAAGCTGATGTTCCGAGGGCAGAGGAGATGATCGACAATCAATTTCAAATAAACTTACTTCACGATTCTAGTGAGCCTGTTGCACAATGTAAAGGCTTTTAAAATTTACAATAATTATTCCAACTTTATAAAGTTGGAATCAATGTGATGCAGCTAGTTTTCAATTTTGCACCCGAAAAATATATATCGCTTAGAGAGAATAATGTTACTTTCCAAAAGGAAGGACATTCAGTTATGACAATTATGACAAGTGGAAGCGATGATTATGTATTTTCTGAATCCCCCGAAATTCACTCAAATCCGATTGGGCAGACTGGTGTGTATATAAATGTAGTAATCATTGCTGAAAAACATTTCTACAATATTAGCATCAATGGGGGAGATTTCATACACTTCCAACATAGAATTCCTCCATGGACAGTCAATCGCGTTATGGTATGATTTATTTACTGTTTAAGGAAATTTGGTCATTGGAAAGTTTCTTGCTAAATTTATAAAGTAATGTAGATTTTAGAAAAAAAGGAAAGTTTGAGATATTTTCCAAAAAATCTTGTCGATAATACATAAATCAACGTCTGGTACTACTCCTTGTTAAGCTCAAATGTTTACATTATTATTTATTTTCAATAGTAAAAAAATATCAAACTTTTGAAATAATATTTTAAAGATTAGTGGAGATATAAAAGACGTTAAATTTGAAGAAGATTCAAGCCAATGTCAAAAAATAATCAACAATTCAATTAAATTTAAATTACCGACAAATATGTTGGAAGTAAAACCATTAACAGACTTCGAGATTATTGTTATCACAGGCAAAATTTCAAATTTCCCCGTTAATGTTACTTTTCTGTATGGAGCTATAGAACGTCATAATAATTGTACGAATTTTATATTAATCACCTTACAATGATTAGAAATTTTTCTTGAATTTATTGAAATTACAATCCTCATTTTCTCCTAAAAAATACTACCTAAAAAATATTACTTTTTTTAACTCCTTTATTTTTAATCCTGAGTAGAGTACTATATTTTATAGTAAACATTATTTTTTAAAGTATTAGTTTAGAAAAGTTCTTAGTTTTTTATTATGATTGTTTCCTGGAAGCAATTTATGACCATGAATTGCGTTATCGGAACAGAACTTAAGATTTCTCGGTTCTGATAACGATATCCAAAAATTTTCCAAACCATAAAGTTCAGCTTTAAAACGATTTTTCTAAAAATGAGTTTCAACATAGTAATTTTACCACTATAGTTGGCCATGTTGTTTTCGACTTTGCTCTTTCGCAAAATGAGATATATATTGAGAGCAGAACGGTATTTTCGAATAATTTTGTCGTTAAAATATTTACTAAATTTAACAGACAGGAAGAGAAAGTGAAAAAACAAATAAATCACTTCCACACCAGCTCGAATTAAAAGAAGGAGAACAGATACTATTAAATTTTTATGGCAAAAAGGAGACGATTAATTTTGAAATTGAAACAAAAAAAGATATATTTACAAATTCCTTTGTTTCTTTAATGCCTTATTCCGCAACACATTATGTGATGGTAGGATAATTTAAAAGAATATTTTATTATTAGTGAACAGTTGTCGTAGGTTTTTTGAATATATTTCGAAAGTTAAGCTCTATACCCAAATTGTGCCGGCTTGATACTTTCCTTACTTTTTTGGACTGGTCATTTTTTCCAGAGCGAGACAAGTGAGTACCAGCCGACGTTGATCGGCTATAACTCTGCTGCTTGATCCAATACGAATAAATCATATATCATTCGAAAACCTCTTTTTTCTCATTTATTAAAATGTTACAAGTCGATAAGTGCCCAAAATCGTTGTTTTCATCTTATCGACTTGTATCTTTTTATCAACTGATCAGACTTGAACGATCAAATTGGGCAAAAGATACTGCTTATAGAGGGCCTTCGAATGATATAAGATTAATTTGTTTGGACCAAGCTGTAAAAAGTTATAGCCGATCAATTAAAGCAAGGTCATAAACATTAAAAACTTATGAAACATGACCATTCCGAGCCAGTCCAAAAAAGTAAGGAAAAATATCAAGCCGGCACGATTTGCGCATAAAGTTAAAAGTTCTATGTGATTAAATAATAAAAGAGGTTAATAATAATCATGATTTCTATCATTTTCGGTGTTGTGAAATTATATTGAGAATTATAAACTCAATCCTATATTTAGAACCTTTTTTAGTAATTAATTATCTCTATATTTATGTAGGTTGATGGTCTTGAAAAAACAAACGAAGATAAATTAATTGAGGTACAAAAAATATAAAAGAATCTGTAATTTTATTTTTTTTACTACAACTTTATTTAAAATTAACATATTATCATAAATATTTATTTATTAACTACATATTAGGTACATAAGTATTTAGATTGTTAGCCGACTTTTGCGTATCTGAACTGAATTTTTTTAAGTCAATGAAATAGTTTGCCCTAGTTACAAATCCAAAATTTTTTTAAATTCCTATGTCCGTGAAGCCAGATTGAATAAGTTTGACCATCGTTGATTTGAAAGGATACCGGGAATATAAAGAAATCGGGATACTGCAGATCCAGAGCCGAGCTTTTATTAGCCACCCCATCATGGTAGTAGACGACAGTGGCGGGTTACACCCAAGGCACCGCAAGGCCAAGGTACCGCCAGGCCATAACTTGTTCAAAATAGTCGAATCAGGGACGCCCTGGTATAGTTCGATTCAGCTCGTTGAGATACATCTTAATTCATTCAATTTTTTGCTCTTTCATAAAATTTAATTTCGACTTCCGTTGCAATTTAAAAGTTCATTCTCCCTGCTTTTATTTATTTTCTTACATCATCGTGAGAAAAAAATTTATCTTGCACTTTTACTTAATTATTTCATAACAAAATTTTAAATGTAGACTCAATCACTTTAAAAAGTACATTCATAAAAAGTACAACAAAACTTTTAAAATATAAAATTTAATATTTAATAAACAAATTTTGCCTATAAAATAAAGTTCATTTTATCAATTCTCCTCTAAATATTTCAAACTTATTCAAAGAAAATGTATAAATTAATTCTTTTCATAATCTCTATTCTAATTTTTGAAAATATTTCCCACAAAAATTGTAAATATTCTAAAATTGGTAAGGAAAATAAAATTTCCCTCCGTAAAAATTTCAATTAAAAAATAAAAATTTCAATTATTTGTTTTGTCCTAAAAGGGCTTGGGACCCAAATAATTCCTGCTATCGGGCTGCAGGAATTATTTGTAGTTAGCTAAATATCATAAAGCATTATGAGACAATTTTTTAAAAATATTTAGTTAAATTTTGCGAAACAATCGGATAGATTGTTATGCAATACTTAAGAACTTCTAATCTCATCTCAATTAATTTCATTTTTGCCCTTTCATTGTATTTCGCAATTTAAATAATTTTTTAATTTACCTATTTACTTTCTTACATCATTTCATGTAATATGTACGTCGGTAATGATAAAAAGGAAAACTGACGTTTACTTAAAGTTCAAAGCAAAATTATGGTTGTTTTTATATAAAGTGCATCTAAAGTTATGAAATATACAAAAAATAATTAAAAGGGATTTTGTCTATTTAAGGCCTATCTAATTCAAATAAAATTAAGCGCTTTTTAAATTTAATCATAATACAAATAAACGGGAATAGTAAGCGATATGAGGACTCTCAAAGGTTTACTTGGTTTATTTTTGTGTCGTAACTTTGTCCAAATTTGTCATTCGCGTAGGTTTTTTTATTAGATTTAGCTCGCGGAGCTCATTAGGACGAAATATTGCTTTTTCGAATCGGAGTATTGGGGATGTGACGAATTTTTTCCTAAAACATTCCTATAGTACTATCAACATAAAATTTTTTTATGTTTTTTTAAATTTAGTGTGTACTTGGTGGTAGGGGGGGGGGGTATTTAAAAGTTTTCCATTCACAAGTTGCTTTATAAAATAGGTATTTGTTTTTACTTTTAGAGAAAATGTTTAAATTAATTCTCTTCATTATTTTCATTTTAATTTTTGTGAATATTTCACAACCTAACAAAAGTTGTAAATATTCGAAAAATGGGAAGGAAAATAAAATTTCTAAAATTTCCCTCCGTAGACACAAACGAGGTTTAAATACAAAAAGTGATTGTGAAGAAGAAACAAGCTCTAAAAATTTTGAAAAATTAAATTTGACGGAGAAAGAAAAGAAAAGGGGGTTGTATATTTGTGACAACTTTTTCTACTCACATACAAAATTTAATGTAATTAATTTAATTTATTAAAATTTTGGTCAAGGTTATGAAAATAAGGAAATGTTATGGACCCTATAGTAGATATTTAAAAGCCAAATTTGTTGACAAGTGTTTTGAAACTACAAATTTTGATATTTCTTGCCAAAACTAAACGTTTTATAAATTGTATAGACTGTAAACCGCTTATTTTTGGAAATCTGTTTAAAAAAAGTTCACTAAAATAAAACCGTTATCTAACTAACATTTATAATGAAAACAGTTTTTAGAATTAGGATTACCCGAAAACCAAGGATAAAGGTTTTAAAACTCATGAATATGGATATACATATAATGTGTAATTATGTCGAAGATTTGTGTTTTTATGATACTCAATCATTTTAAGGTCTCCGATTACTTATTAAATTTCAGGAATTATTGGCCAACATTTTATCTGAAGAATATGAAATTGTAATTATTTAATATAAT